TGCGAGTCAATCTACGAAATTCTATATTAAGATTCAGTTTGTAACATTTATTATATTTGGAATACTTATAATAAATTTTGAGCTTCAGAACTATTTCATCATTTGCAACAACGGTCCATTAATTCTACCTCGAAAAATAAAAGAATTCATCTATGGCTAGGTAATCTTCAAGTTTTACTATACAATTCTTTACAACTTAATGTGGCATTATGCCCCCTAACAAAAGTCAATAAAAAATAGGAAGCAACTGTTTTTTCGCCATCTGCTCGGTATTTTACGTAAATATCTGGGTATTTCGAATGAGATCTTTAAAAAGAAGCTCCCGTGTCCCTTAAGGCAATGGCACCTTACAGAAGACTCACTGCCCAATAGCCTTGAGTGCCAAGTAAAGGTCTAAATTTGAAGTCTCTCAGTGGGACCTGGTGGTATTCCATATGGGTTAAGGAAATAATCCTGGAAATGTCATACAACTGCAAAATCAATCATTATTTAGACAGATAAACAAATAGGCTAGAGAACAGATGGATTAACACGAGTGAAAACATTTAATTTTATCAATTTCCAATCTTGGTACCAATTATTATAAAGTTTTTTGGGTCTGCTTACTTGTTTTCACCAGCTTTTTTTTTTCATTTTTTTTAACAAAGCTAACGTTAGTCGTCTTAATAAAACACATGTTTTTTGTTTTTTTTTTTTGACATAGCAAATAATTTCAGAGACAAAAACACTATACATTGTGATTATTCAAAATGATAAGAGCATAGTAGGTTGTCAATTTATGAGATATGAAAGATACATTTTATGATGCAATGAGTTCAAGATCCATTGACAATTTAATAAGAAATTTAACTCTCGCTTATAAATAAATAGTTTTCCTTCATAAAATTGTCAAAATTAAAAGAGGGTCATCTCTGTTCAAGTATTCCCTTCAAAATATGCTGCAATAGTGTGCATTTTGATTATAAAATAGATTTCTTTTGGGAATGCATGACTTATAGTAGAATTTCAATATATGTGTATGTGAACAGAGGGAAGTTGAATTGTTAGATGTCATAAGATTTTAAAAATACATGAGACATTTGAGATTATTCATGTACTTTTTTGTGAAAGAAAGTTACTCACGAAAAGTGTTTAGTCCTGAATGAAATAATTTCATATTAATAAATATTGTCCATACGTACAGTAAATATCTTATCCAGTTGTTGTATATTTCGAATATTTCCGACAAATGTAATATGTAAATGTATTATGATGTAAACGTTATATCCCTTTCAGAAAATTCCAATTGTTTAAATGTCGTATAATCCAGAATGTAGTTAAATCATGCCCATTTCCGTGGAACCAATAATGTCCGATTAAGACAGGTTTGACTGTAATTATATTTGTTGGTGTGATTATCACAGCGATAGTTAAAACAAGAGGCCCAGGGGCCACATCGCTCACCTGAGCACTATGGCTAGAAAAAAGCAGAAATCAGTTCAGTCTTGAAAGGTTGAAAAGTTTAAATATAAAAATGGGGGGGGGGGGGGTCATGAATTGAACAAATTTGAATCTACATTATCTGAGGATGCTTCCATTAAATATGACCAATCATGGCTTTGCTGTTCTTGAGTAGAAGATTTTTAAAGATTTAACCTATGTATTCCTATGTAAAACTTTGATCACCCATTGTGGCCCCACCCGACCCCCAGGGGTCATGTTTGAACAAACTTGAATGTACACTATCTAAGAATGCTTCCATATGAATATGAATATGCATATCATGGCTTTGCTGTTCTTAAGAAATAGTTTTTTTTTTTTTTTTTTTTTTTTAAGATTTTTACTACGTGTTCCTATGTAAAACTTTGATCACCCATTGTGGCCTCACCCTATCCCCGGGGGTCATGATTTGAACAAATTTGAATTTACACTATCTGAGGATGCTTCCTTGTAAATATGACCAATCATGGATTTGCTGTTCTTGAGAAGAAGATTTTTAAAGATTTTTCCTATATATTCCTATTTAAAACTTTGATCGCCCATTGTGGCCCCAACCGACCTCCGGGGGTCATGATTTGAACAAATTTGAATCTACACTATCTGACGATGCTTCCATGTAAATATGACCAATCATGGCTTTGCTGTTCTTGAGAAGAAGATTTTTAAAGATTTTTCCTATATATTCCTATGTAAAATTTTGATCGCCCATTGTGGCCCCACCCTACCCCTGGGGGTCATGATTTGAACAAACTTGAATCTACACTATCTGAGGATGCTTCCATGTAAATATGACCAATCATGGCTTTGCTGTTCTTGAGAAGAAGATTTTTCCTATATATTCCTATTTAAAACTTTGATCGCCCATTGTGGCCCCTCCCGAGCCCCGGGGGTCACGATTTGAACAAACTTGAATCTACACTACCAGAGGATGCTACCATATAAATATGACCAATCATGGCTTTGCTGTTCTTGAGAACAAGATTTTTAAAGATTTTTCCTATATATTCCTATTTAAAGCTTTGATCGCCCATTGTGGCCCCTCCCGAGCCCCGGGGGTCACGATTTGAACAAACTTGAATCTACACTATCTGAGGATGCTACCATATAAATATGACCAATCATGGCTTTGCTGTTCTTGAGAAGAAGATTTTTAAAGATTTTTCCTATATATTCCTATGTAAAACTTTGATCGCCCATTGTGGCCCCACCCGACCCCCAGGGGTCATGATTTGAACAAACCTGAGGATGCTTCCACATAAGTTCCATATTTTCAAGCACAGTGGTTCTTGAGAAGAAGATTTTTTAATGATGCCATTAATTTTTCACAAATTCTTAATTATCTCCCCTAGGAAGAAGGCGTGGCCCTTCATTTGAACAAACTTGAATCCCCTTTACCCAAGGATACTTTGTGGCAAGATTGGTCGAAATTGGCCCAGTGGTTCTTGAGAAGAAGATGAAAATGTGAAAAGTTTACAACAACAACAACAACGACAACAACGACGACAGACAACGGACAAATTTTGATCAGAAAAGCTCACTTGAGCTTTTGGCTCAGGTGTGCTAAAAACAAAAACTACTTAGTTCAAGATTAGAAAAAACACAGACACATATTTTGCTTATAAATTCTACTTTCAATTGGAATGAAGTTTTTTTATTTAAAAAATAAAATGATTGTTAATGCGAGATGAATGCAGCTGCAACTTTTGCATAAAATAAACATAGCCCACGTACGCGTGTTACATAATTTTTTCAGCAATTGTTGCAATAAACGAACGAAGAAACTTTAGGGGGGTTAAATTTATGTCTGTAAAATAATAACCTTTCGAAGTAAGTTAAAGAACGCAAAATTTTGTATTTTTGATCTGTATATCATGGTATATTTCATTGATGAATTAAAAACTCACAGTTTAATTAAGAAATTATTCATACAGGTGACCTTGAAAAACCGGTTGTAACTAGTTACCGGTAAGCGATGTTAATGGATTAAGGAAAATGGTTTTCATACGAAACAAAGGAGGAAATATTCAGTAGATATATATATATATTCAAATGCAACGCTTTGTCAGCTATGGTAGGGCAATCTTTATCGACATTATGAATTTGTCTATAATTTTTGCGTATGCTTTTAAATTCTGAAAAAACAGAAGTCGATTAAAATAGGTATCAACTATTCTTTTGCCAAGTGCTCGGTCCAGTTGTGGGTATTTCAGATGAGACATAAAAACCCGTCGGCACGCTCTCGTTTCCTCACTGCACAATGACCCTGGGTGCTAAGTAAAGGACTATAGTCATAATGTGCGAAATAATCTTCATTACTTAATCTTTCTTTATAGACGATGAGGCAATATTTGTTTCCTAATCTTGACATAAAAAGACTTGTGAATTCATAGTTCTATGCATTACAGGGGTATATGTAACAAATATATTACAGAAAGCAAATATGTAACATATATGTTCATCAATCTTTTTTCCGATGTAAATCAATATCTGTTGAGCGTTTGCATATTTTCCTTTCGGGCCTAGCAGTTCTTAAAATAATTTTTATTTTTTTTTTTCTAAACTATATCTGTCCTTTGAAAATGTTTTGAATCCCCTCTACTTCGGGTTTTTTTTTGACAAATTTAGTTAGAAGGCATATCAGAAAAAAATAGAAAAGTTTGCATACAGACGCCGATAACAGTTTATCCCAATTATAAAAAACGCATAAAAGTGTTGCTCAGTTGAGCTCTTGAAAAGACAAAAAAATGCATGTGAAATGTGGAAATTTGTATTATCATATTTATACATTTACAATTAGTTTAAAATGGACAATAATTCATTTAAATCAAAACAATTTTGCCAAAGATAAAAATAATATGCACATTTTAAAAGAAAAATAATAGAAAATACATTCCCTGATGCTGAACGCTAAATTAACAAAATTAAAAAATTAAAATCATTACAGAATTTAGACAGTGGGCGATTTTTGCAATTATCTTTAAGGACATACACAACGTAGTTTGAACTTTGTCTTTTTCCCTGGAGTTGAAGAGTTCCAATACTTAAAGGAACTGTTTGCTACATTTTAATGTCTATATATGCTGTTGTACACTTCTTCAAAAACAAGTTTGGATAAACAAAACATCTAGAATATATGTTTAGTAATTTTTATATATTTTTCCTTGAATTATACAAGAATTTTCATCAATTGATATCTTTTCGAAACCCCTGGTAATGCATGTTGATTTTTTGTCTACGAACATCTGATGGCGCTATAATCTTAAATTAAGAATATCTTGAAAAATTATCAGTAGGTTAGGTACGGGGCGTATGTCCTTAACCCACATGTGTAAGTTGCGCTAATGGTATACAAATATTCCACAACAATACCATCCATAAAAAATCTATGGATAATTTAATTTAGAATTTACAAATAACAGGAAAAAAATAACACATCGCATGTGAATCATAAATTATAGTTCATTAAAATATCTATCTAAAAACAATATTTTAAATATTTTATATAAATAAGTCAAAAAAATATCACTGACTTAAAAAAGAGGACAATTTAAAACAACTCTCCTTATACAAAATTTCTTCTCAGAATAATTTTATAAGGTCAACCTTTTATACATGTTGGAATGTTGAAAATATGTCTCCGTGTATCTCACATATAATCTTACATAAAAAATAATCTTACATTATGACTACCAAAACGATATGCTGATTACAAAATGATGTGATCATAAATAAAGACATCCTCTAACGTGGATATAACAAATATTCTATCCAGGTTTCACATAATTGAAAATATTTCCAAGCTGCACAGGTATACAATTGCAAAATATGATCTTAAGTAAAAATAATGTGCATGACACCGTATTTTCTATCATATTACACTGTTAAATTATATAAATTAATACATGTAACAAATATTTACACTGTCATTGATTAAATAAACGCTGAAGTGTGAACTTGATTCAATTTTAATTTATGAAAGATAATCAAAATCAACGTCTGAAAATGTGCTGATTTTTTTCATTGTATTTGAATTGATGGAAAACGTTATCATTTTGCAGTTTTGGGTCTGTTAGATTTCGGTCTGAATCCTTTCTTCTTTGTTTCATCTCCACCAATAGGCCTATGAAAAAAAACATAAATTTATATAATTTTTTTTTCAAGCAACATACACGCTATATAAACGCCGATGTTTTATGTAAAACAAATGATTAAATGATTTGAGAAACATGATGTGTAATGAAAAAATAATACTTTCCACAAAGCTTTACTAAGTAAGTTGTTGTATTAACAAAATAATTAAGCAAGATCTGCAATTAAGAATTCAGTCTTTTCATGAATATTGATGAAGGAAGTGCGTAAACAGTATATAGACACACATGTCCGCGGGAAATCATACACGACGAGGAACATTGCATTTTGACTACGACTATGAATAAAAGGTTAATCAGTTTCTGTCATTACGGAGTAAATAGTTAATACTTGTTGCTTTAAAAGATAAGTATCTTTAAGTGTTCGACGTTTGCCATCCATGTCAAGTTATTTGTATACCAAACAGCCTACCTCGTTTTCTTGACGCCATTTTTATTTATCAATGTACTAAAAGTAGCTACGGTGTAACGTGATGCATTAATTTATATAGAGGCATTACTTTCCTGGCAAGAAACTAAATAATCATAATTTGACATCTTTATAACGCGTTCATTTTCAACTGTGTAATTTACAGTATTTTCGTAACTTTAATTGGTAAACAAAATAAATAAATTTCCAACCCTATTTTCAACTGATGCAAGTTATAGCGTGTATATCTTTAATATATCTAATAAACCAAAGGATTTTACCAATGAAGAAAAACATTTGAGCGAGCATATAAAACATCTGTCAAAAAATTGTTTTCAACTGAAAACTTGAAAAACAGTTCGAATTCTAGCAAAAAAAAATCCACAGACGTTTTAATTATTTTGACTGCAAATCAAAAGGTTTTGAAGCTCAACAAATTTTTAGGCATTTTATGCTGTACTCAATCTTCAAAATTTCATGACTATCTACTTACACCATGTAAGATTCTAATGGCCATCGAACAAAATAGGAGAAGACCCAGGCCTTAGTGATACCCTGGGACTGTTTCAGTTTGTCCATGTTGGCTTTGTTCTCCAAATTTTCGTCTCTTCTAGCTAAGGCTTTAGCTCTTCTCTCCTCCAGATCTTGTTGCATTTTTATCTTCGCTGCTTCCTCCATTTCTTTTAGCTTATTTAAAAATACAATGAGTTTAACTTTTTAATGCAAATTAAGCCCATGTGATCCCACATATTATGAAATATTTGAATGTTTTAAAACGTTTTACGTTGACTAGATAACTTTCAAATGTTCCCCATAACTGAATCATCAGATGTATGTAACTTTGTGATTAAGATAACCTATGTTAATTTTTACTTCTAGTCTAGTATCATACTTTTATTGTAAAATAAATAATATTTCATGATAACAGTTTTAAATTGAAACAAATCTTTTCACAATTTTTGCTACAAAAAAGCTACTACTTAAAAAGATTATATTAACAAGAAGCAAGAATTATCCCTGCTCACCTCCAATAATCTTCTTCTTTGTTCCTCTAACACCCTTTGTTCTTCTTCCTCTTGTTTTCGTTTAATCTCCTCATACTTAATTTGTTCTGCCAATAGCTCTTGTCTGAAATACAAATTAAATACACTCATAAGATTTTATAGATTTCAGAGCACAATTGAAAATTTCACTTTTTGATACATGTAGCATCATACAATTGGTGCATAATAAGTTTTTAAAGAAAAAGTCATCACTATGTTCAGAATAAATGAAGATGACAGGACAGAAAAGACGTTTACATATCTATAAAAATATAATCGTCTCACCTTTTCAGTTCTTCTTCCTCAGCCATTTTTTGTCGTTCCATTTCCAATAATATTCTTTGCCTACTGATTTCTTGTTCTTGTACATACAATCGCTGCATTTCCTCTTCTTCCATCTACAGGATAATAAACAAAAGTTTTTACATTTCAATTGAAATACATGTAAATATATCATATGCAGTAAAACATTAAATTTTGGAGGGGAAAAATATCTCCATATGAATTCTTACAATAGTTCATAATTTATAAGCTGACAACTTGAGGTGACTCAAATGCTGAAAATTTCATGACAATGTTGTTACAATATGAAGTTATAATTTTGTATTGTTGGTAATGCTAAAAAGCATCTGTCATACAATAGTGCAACTGTATATGTACCTGGACTTCAATTTCCCTTAAACGTCGTTCTTGCTCTTCTGCAGCTTTTACTCTTTCATTTTCTTCTTCCTATTTTAAAAAAGCATTACCGTTTATACATATTTTGTGATGACAATTCATTAGATAAAACTGTGTCATTCAACTGAATATTCACTGAAAGGTCTGCAAAGGTGGCTAATTAGCAGATTTATCAAGTCTACTTTTACTTCTAGTTAACTGAATTGCAAGTTTCATTCCATATTTGAATCCTTTTGCTTGACTGGCTGTATAGAGGAAACATACAGAATTACAGAAGAGCAATCAATTTTTCCTGTTTTAATCCCCCTCTCTACTTTCCAGATAGAACAAAATCCTGGATCATCCACTTATACATGTATTTCTTCATATTTTTTTTTTTTACTAATTTCAAATATTCAAACCTCTGCTTGTTCAATTGCAAGTCTCTCTTCTTCTTCTCTCCTCATCTCTTCTTCCAGTTTCTTCTGCTTCCTCATTTCCATGTCGTGGATCCTATCAAGTTCCTCCATCACCTTTCTGCTGGCTTCCTCTCTCTTCTTCTTCTCCTGCTCAAATTTTTCTCGCGCGAGTTCCCGCCTTTTTTCCTGATCTGCTTTCCTCCTCTGATCCCTCTCGTCTCTTTGTCGTTTCCTCGATTCTTCCAGATACTTATGTACTTCATCCACAGCCTCCTGCATCTCTATCTCTTCTCTCATTAAACGATCCATTTCTAACTTGAGTTCCTGTGTATGAATTATAACTTTCTAGAGGACTTCTTTGTTTATTTAGTGTTTCTGATAAAATTATGGCCGACTGGCACTAGAGTTAATTCTTATCATTCAATAGATTTGAAACTAATGTTACGGATAAAGAAAATACAAAAAAATGTAATGTAAACACTCTTTAATAATTTGTTAATTATTACCGATAATAATCACATTATTATCTATGTATCCCTAGCATCCATTTCCTCCAAAAAGATTTACATTTAGCAGGCTTTACAGTTCGACTTCAAAAATACATAAAACACATAAAATATAACAAATAATCATGAATCCAAAATCGGGGCACCTGTAAAAACCCTCCTCCAAAATTATCAAAAAACATATTTGAAACTCATCCACCAAAAGATCTACAGGTACAGTGTATACTTGCTTCGTCGGACAACGAGTCTTCGTCATCAAGTAATGACATTTTTGTTTGAATCAAGATTGATGATAGGCTTTTCTCCTGTTAATAATCAAGCAAACACATGACTGATTGATTGATTTTGATTGATGGAATCATCCTCATTTCGCAGGTTACATATCTTTTTTAAGGTTTAACTTCCCTCTGATAAGAGCGATAACTTAGGAAGAAATTAAATCCCAAAATATCCGAAAATTCGTTTATCAGGTGTTATTTCATCAGTTACTTGATCAACTTTAATATTCCTTAGCAGCTATCACATCTTTTGGCAAAAAAAGTTCAAATGTTTCGAACACTGAATAATATTTTTCTTTGCTAATATATTTCATGGACATTTATAGTTTTCTAACAAACACTTGCACCACATTTATTTTTCTCCTTCAAATTTAAATATTTTTATTTCTTTATAAGAACTTATAAAGTTGTATAATTTACAGTGTACTATGTAGAGAATTTTTAATAGTAGTATATTTTTCTTCGGGAATGAAAAAGATTAAAGGAAGATAACCCTTACTGATGGACACATTTTTTTTCAATCATAATCAAACAACCTGATATTCTGACTTAAAAAGCATATCTTCAATATGTGAATTTGATACGTAAGAAACTAAATATTACTTTTAAATATATCTCATATTTTTATGTTGTGATAGTATATTATTGCTCCTTCTATTGACCGTGTCAAATTTTATTCATAACATGGTTAGACATAAATCTTATTCTGGAAAAAAAGTAAGCCCCGCTTCACACCTCAAACCATTTGAATCTGATGCTTTGTTGCTGATGAAAATCGATGTACGGAATTTTAGTTTTTTTTTTGAGACGAAATTTAGAACAGAGGGACATTAGGCCTTAAGAAATAATATTAGTTCTGATTAAATGTTTGTTCCTAATGACACTTTTTACCGTCTTTTACAAGAGACATTTTGCTCTCATACTTTTATTATAATATCATACTTCACATGGCACATGAACAAGTTTGTAGTTAGATAAGTAGTAAGCCTGAAAATTTTCCTTGCAATTCTAATTTAATAATTTCTATGAAACTGTAAAAACGTTCTCCCAAGACTTAGATCAACTGCTTCAGGTTCTCTCCTATGAAGATATTTTATCGGCATTTTAAAGAAACAAGTCTGTTTTACATATTATGTATCCCGATCCCGTCATATTATCACACATTTCACAATTGTGCAATAAACATAATCTTATTTCTACATTTTGTACTTAAGACAACAAAGATTCCCAAGACCATATGTGCAACAGTGGTTAATACCTTTTTGTCATTCTTTTTGCCACGTTTCTTTGTAAAAAATAAAATAATTCACGTGTGGGTTTATGATTTTTTTAAGTGCAATGTACTTGCTAATAATCGATAACTATATTCATGCTTGTTCTTGGTAACCCAAATCTATATGAATATTTAGCATTGTATGTTTGTACTTTGGTTTTGATAATTTAAGAAGTTCAATACTGTATAGGGGGAAAATAACTCGCAGTGTTAATATTCGCTATATTCAAGGTGTTAATAAATCAGTGAATTCAAGAAACAGTGAGTAAGTTTTAAATATTAAACCTCAATGTTTTATTTGGAAATTGAGAATAGACTACGACAGGTATATATACATGTACACGGTCATTCAGTAATTACGAGTAGTACTTGTCATTAAATTATCTTAATTATCACGCCTTACTTTATTTCAAATAAGCAGTTAATAACCTGTATTTATTGTTAAAAAAAACTGTTTTAATAGACACGTTTTATTAATCAAAACACACGGGTCATGGGTTTTGATTGCTCGTGCGTAACGTTACCACGTGCATTTGTTACCTGCATTAACATTATGGTTACTAGTTTTTATGGAAATTTTGGTTTAAAAAAATATCATTCGAATAACTATCGAATTTGCTGAAGATATGGAAGGATATTATTACGTCTACCTACAATAATACATCTATTAGCGTCCAGTGTTTTTTTTTTTTCGCTGCGATGTGTATACCTTCGGAAAGATGTGTACACATGCACTCAGCGTAAAAGCATATAGGAATGTCATTTGACGTTTATAGTCAAAAAAGTTTAATAACGGCACTTGTTTTGATTAATCATCAATTCACCACTAAATTTAATCATTTTTTATAAACCTTCCCTGTTCGTGAAGTGAATACATAACGCTGATAAATGTCGTTCTTGCTATACTAGCTATGGATTACACCGATAAAGACAAGGGAGGTAACTTTTATTATATACCGATTCCGCGAATTCAATTAACCGCGATCGTGTCCGAGGAGAGAAAAACGTAAAAATTACAACCCGTGAAATTAATCCCCTATACAGTATTATAACACCTTATCAAACATCCATTATATACGTATTAATTCATTTCATTGCAAATATTTTCTAATCTGTAATTCATTCACATATTTTATAGCGTATACATGTACATACTTTGTAAATACAATATGCATTTTTTTAATGTCAGAATGCAATGTTATTTTTTTCGTTAATTTATGAAGAAATAAGATTTATGTCCTTTACTTTTAATTTACATACCAATTCTTTATCTCGAGTTCTCTGCTCATGTTCTTCTACAAGTTCCTGTCTTTCCTGTATCTGCTCCTGTAATTTACGCTTTTCCTCTAATTTTTTCTACAACATAAAAATTTTGACCAAATAATCACGGTTATTGCGGACAGGATTTCCTAAAAACACCAAAACGTAATTGCCGACAAAAAATTAAGTTTCACCAATATAGAGATGTTAAAAGAATCTCAGATACATTCTTTTTATATCAAACTATAGAAAGAAGGCAATTGGAGAAAATTGTGCATTAATTGTTCTCATTTCGTTAAATATTCTCATTATTCTCATTAATAAGTAATAAATACAATAACTGTGTCATGTGGTAGCTAGCTATAAAATGAATGATTATACCAATCAATGGTTAACCAAACGCAAGGTTTACAATTTCATTACATTTCAATTGTATTCAATAGCCACATCAACATTTATAAATGTTAATTGCACTAAAAAGAAAAAGAATGAGAATATTATTTCAAAAAATCAAAAATTAAGCTAAAAATAACATCATATATAACTTTTATTTAAATTCTAAGTGCATATGTGAAAAACATATATGATTAACTTAGATTAAACATTACAAGGGGTGATTAAAAAGTTCGCGAACTAATTGAATAACTTCATAAAAGATATAAAATTAGATTTCGGTGCATAATATTTCTTAAAGTAGTCCTCTCCGATTTTAATGCATATCTGCCACAGTTTTGCCCATCCGTGAATCACGTGATCCAAGCGGTCACGTGACATGCTTCGTAGAGTTCTGCTCACAGAAGCTAAAAGATTTTTCCGAATCTTATATTATTTACCATGCAAGTTATTTTTTAAAACAAGAATAGTCCATTTGTCACAAATGGCCTAATCCCGGCAATAGGATGGGTGGATAAGGATATCTTTTCTCAGAATGAGCATGGTGACCATCACAACCCGACTCATCTGTCTTGGGTGCGTCATTTTTCCATTGTGGATAAAGTATGGGCGCCTTCCTTTTATCATATCTGATATGTTTAAAGTCTAAAGTATACGATATTCTAGGGATTTAATAATTGTAATCTATTCTTAAGATATTCAACTATATTTCAAACTCTAACTTGTTGATCTTTTATAACAAATTGCTCAACTACGGACACATCTCTTCCCCAGCTTACTTTCACTGGGCAGCCCTCCACTAAAACAATCAATCCAATTAATGATTGAACTTTTGACAAGTCTTCTGTCCTCATAAACCTTGTATAAATTATTATATGCTACTGTAAAGGAATTTCCAAGATGTACGTTAAACTTAACAGCCTTTCGTTGCTCGAGTACGACTGAGTCAGCCATTTTTTGTCACAAGTCATATACATATTGACGTAATTTTCACATTGTGTCGTCAAAAACATGGAGAAAAAAATTACGTAACATCTGCTATTTATAGAACATGTTTATGATTATAGGTGTACCAAATTTCATTTAGATCTGAATAGTGGTTTTGTAAATATAAAGATAGTTCGCGAACTTTTTGATCACCCCTCGTATATTTTGAACTGAAAAAGTTCCATCATGATAAAATTCATGAAATAAAAAAAGCAGCTTCAAACACTTTGAGTAGTATTACGAAGATTTCCTAGACAATTAAGAAGAAAGTCGAATAAGATCCTCGTGTATCAAATTAATGGTATATGATTTTAATTAAGATAACTAGCAAAATGTAAGCAATTAGAATTTTTTCACGACAGATTTAAATCACATATGCTTCTTAGAATGTTCAAATCAATTGAGTTCTGTAAGTACTTGTTAAAGTTCAAACTTGTTTAAAACAAAGTGAACAAAATTGAAGACTAGCTCTTAATTTTCCACAACTTAAATATCATAAGCAACATTGAATTCATATAAATATTAACACATGACATCATGATAATTATCTATGCTAAAATTAATTAACTGCAAAAACTTCTAGCATCCATTACCCATTATTATAGATAGTTCCATCTGAAATTTTATTCAAATTTAAAATCCTAATACAGTGTATCTGTAAAACTTTTTTTCAACATTTTGTAATACAGCAATAAAAACTGATACGTCTTCTTCATATATTTAGAGTAAAAAGAGAAACGTTAGAGAATTTTAATTGTACTTTATTTTTTTAATTGTACTGTATTTTGTTTTAAATTCTTGACTCTATAATATTTAAAAGATTCATAGTTAATAACTTGGTTAAATCGTGATCTAGAAAATGAAGAAAATTATCAAAACAAAGAATAATGTTCATGAAAATAAGACATTTATCAAAATTTTATGTTAAAAAAGTGCAGAGAACAAGTTCAGCAAAAAAACAAAATAAAATTAATATGATTCTGAATTGTGTTGGTTATAGGGTTTCAAAAACATGTGTTAATACAAGCTTTAAACTACCTTTTCCTCAGCTCTCTTTTGCTCTTTTTTGAGTATTTTCTTCAATTCAAGAAAAGGAAAGAACAATTCGAAATAATCTACCTTCTCACAATTTGAAATAACCATATTCTTTGCTGCAAATCTTACAGTTATATATTTTTAAACTTAAAAATCATAGAATGAAAAGGAAATAAGAAAACAAACCTGTTTTTCCAAATCCTTCTCGTTCTTAGCTTGACCTTTAGCTGTTTGGTCTCTGGGGGTCGATTTCCCACCTTTGCCCCCTTTCTTCTTGCCCTTTCCTTCTTTCAGTTTTACAGCTTTTTCTCTTTGTTCTTTCTTTGCTTCCTCAGACTCGCTGGCTCCTGGTCCTGTCTTTTCCATCTCGTCTATTCTTGCTTGTGCAACTGTAAGCTTTTCCTTCATTCATTTATAAAAAAAAAAGGCACATTTGATTATTTCAAAAAGAAAAAAAAATTAAGTAAGCTGTACCAAAAAAAATGCAAGTTAAAGCCATGACTGTCGTAAATATTAACTTAAATTTTCAAACAAAAGAAAGTGCAACAGATCAATTTTCTATAAGACAGAAACAACACTATCTCATGCTTTAATTTTTTAAAGAATTCTTTGAAACTTGATTAGGGTATTGGTCAGGATCTGATATCAGTTTAATTATTCTTGGTCTCTTTATGATTTAATATTAAGTAAAGCTAGGAACTTAATAATCTTACCATTGTAGTGTAAAATTATATTTTATTAACAATGAAGAAACATACCTCCACTTCCATCTTTGCTTCCAATAATTCCTCCTCTGTGAGGCCAACTTCCAGTAACTCTGCGTCTATGGTGGCTTTAAAGGTATCGTCCACTATATTTGCCACTGTAACAATGCCAAGAAATTAACTATGAGCACTCCATGTTAAATCTTGATGATGCAGGTGCGAGAATCAATATTTACCAGATGAAATGCACAGTGATGATTGACAATACAGCAACAAATTGCTTCCTAATTATTTATAAAAATTTCCCTTTCATTACATTCGTTTCATAAAACAGGCTTCATGATCATTGATGTAATCGTATATAATTGGACCCATGAGTTAATAAAAGATTTATTTCCGTTTTATGTCTCCATAATTAGGTCTTCTCTTTTTCTGCTCTTGCTGACTTTAACTTATTCTTTTTTAAGCCTCCAGAAGAAATATATAAGAAAAGGTGTTGATTTAATTTGCAGATGCTAAAAGAATGGATGCATAATGGATTTGGCTGATAACTCTAGTGTAGGTGTTCTCAGTAAATCTTCAATAGTTTCCTTGTATGCCTTGAGAATTTTTTTTCTAATTCTACATTACAAAGACTGTCTTAGCTCTATTTCATAAATACATCACAGAGAAAAAGTGCACATTGAAATAGTGACATACCTTATGACCACCTTGTGTAATTACGACAAAAGTGAAAAGACATTGATGTACATACATATACAGAAAGTACAAAAATTTGGACTGTGTCAAAGTAGAAATCTTGAACATGTGCCATGCACACTATTTCTACAATTTTCTATGTATGTGCCCTATAATTTGAATACTGCATGCATACAATGCTTTAGATTCAAGTTATAGTTTTATCACACAGTTTGTGTATGGTAAGTTTAATTCTAAATACTGATAAATATTTGAACTAAAGAAGTCAGAAATGATATTGTTTGAAGTTTTCTGTGGATGAAAATTAAAGGTTTTGTACTTGTTAATGGGATAAATAGCTTGGGGTTTGGTGACATAAACATCTTTAAACATCAATACATATCCGTTCAATATTTTGCAATGTTCATGCCATCTCATTTTTTATTAATTCATTGCCTTTTCCCAAATCCCACCAAACTCATTCTTACCCTTTTGAAATGTTTTTGCAGTCCTGTAATTAATTTCTAAATAAAATGACAAACATACTGTTAGTAAATGCTAAATCTTTTTCTTAAATACATTAAGTTTTCAAGTAACAAAAATATGACCAAAAAAAACAAGAATCTCTAAGATATATATTAAAAATGTGAAATTAAAAAAAATTGAAGTGCTTTAACTAATGTACTCTGGGGGGAAAACCCTTCTTTCATGATGAACAGCATAAGTCATCATTGATTTGTCTCAGGTAGTATGAAATGATCTTTTCTAGGGAATTAAATGAGTCGTCCTATAAATGGTTTTCCTGTATATGGCTAGCATCATTCCGTAATATTTACTTTGTTTCATTTGTTCCTCCAATGCTGTTTTGGACTGCTCTGTATCTCTGTCGAAGGCTTCCTTCATGTGTTCTGGTATGACTAATTCCTCTTTCTCAGGTGGAATCTCAACTTTCTCATGTTCCCATACTTTTGGAGCAGCCTTTAAAAGTGACAAAATGTTAAGTTATAATAAATCTGTTATAATGCATATCTGTCACATATAAAGCTACAGAAGATTTATTTATTCATTTATTGTCTGATAATTTATTTGTTAGTCATTATACTGCTAATGAATTAAATAAATAAAATAAATTAAAAAATATAGCAAGTAAACTTTATTCTTTCCTTTTATTTCTTTTAAGATCAAAAAATGATCACAAATCATGCCATTTTTGTTTGCAAATATGCGTTTCCACCAAAATAAATCCTCCATCAAATCAAGCAATACGATTCTCTTTAAATTAACACATTCAAATACATTCTCATACAACCCCTATCTGAATAAAAAAAAAGTTTTGCTGTTAATCACCTTTTCTTTTTCTGTATTTTGTGATTCGGGTTGTACTGAAGACACAGATATTGCTTTAGTTACATCCTTCTTTGTCTTCGATTGGGCCTGCTTCTTTGTCTTTTTCTCTTTGATCTTTGGCTAAGATTAAATGATAAAAATATTCATACCCTGTGACACTATATTTATGATAAAAGTAGATATTCATACCCTAGGACACTATATTTATGATAAATATAGATATTCATACCCTAGGACAATATATTTATCTAAATTTAAATTTGAACTGTGGTTTGGGGGGTTTTGCTTATGCGCTTTATTTATTTTTACCCGAATAATTTTATGTACTTAATGTCATTTTATGATAAAAACAAACAATATGATGTCAAGTACATCTGCATTTAGTGTAATAGAATCACTTGAAAGAGACATTAAAATTTCTGAGTTTGTGCCATTTCGACAATATTACTAGTACCGTTTTCTGGGGCTTTGGTTTCAAATAGTCTGGAATAACAGGCATTTGGTCAATAAGTCTTGTAGGGGGTGATGGCTCTGCTTCTTTTGTGACACCTAAATAATGGCAAAATATCTTAAGATAGATTGATAACGCTATTATTTAAAGCTTTTTTAAAAAAAAAAAAACGAATTTGTTTATTATTGCCTCTGTATTCTTTTCCTTGCATAGCATATCGTTTTGTTTTAAAAGATTTAATTACCATATCATCACTTACCAATTCCCTCCGATTCCTTCTTGTCATCATTGCTGAAATGAAAATTCTTTATGTGTTTTTTGAAATTGCTAACATTAAATTAAAAGAACTTACAACTAGCATAATCTCAGCAAGATAAACTATGATAATAAATATATACTGAAATTTACATTTCAAGGAAACTTTGCAGTGGCAAATTAAATAAAATTATAACGTCTCAAATGATTTTGAATTTTTCGACATTTAAAGATAAAGTTTTATGTTGTAATAAAAAATAAATTTAAGTTTACATAAGATTTTTTTATAGTAATCAATGAGTTTCCTCCTTGAAAGTCTGAAATATTGTATATAGTAATGCATGATAATGGTTATTTTATTTAAATATACTTACGATTCAATTGGCTTCCTCTTGCGTTTATCTTTAACAAAAAGCATATAAAATGTAAATGCGTCCATTCCCATTTTGGCACATATATTTGTATTTCAATCACTCCAAAACAGAATACAATTAAATTTAATATACAGGATGTAAATATTGTCTTTTGATTTCAAAATTAACAAAAAAATGAAGGAACCAATTATTTCTCAAGTAAACTCTTATATCCCTTAAGTTAGGCAAAGCACTTTCAGAGTTAGTTCTTTAAAATCAGAAACACGCACAAGTGTCATTACAAGTCACTTTCAGGCATCAGAATACTCCAATGATACGTTTTAATAGATTCATAATTTATATACGAATTCAAATGCAAACAGAGAGTAAATTTGAGAACATAACGGTTATACACGATGGCGTCCATAGCAAAATTAGTGTGGATACCACTTTACAGTTCCCATGCATTCGTACTTCATCCAAAATCAAATGCATCAGAGAATGCCCAAAAAGATTAAGCAAACATTTCTCGTGGATTAAATCCTCTGAATTAGCTATATCTGTGTTAACCATTAAGTGAAATTATAGCTCTTAAAGTCGAAACACAAACACAGCACAATCGATCCACTTTCCATAACCAGACATAAATTAAAGAATAAAATAAACACATCAAATAATATTTAGAGTCATTTAAGGGTAAATTCTTTTGTATGCAGGCATGGTCAATTACTGAGGTTTTTCCCCTTGTCGTAACCTTTCCATTCATTTTTAAGTGCATAAAAATTCCCTGCTTCGAAATCAAATTAAAACAGCCAAGTTCACATAGAAATGACATGCATGGGAGTAATGTAATACTCAACAAGTAACTGTCTGCCAGCTTTCATTCATTTTTAAGTGTTCTGCTAACTATCTGTTAATTAAAATTTCAAGTTCCCATACACATATGTTGATGGTGAACAATAAAGTAAGCTCTAGCCCTTTGCTTATTTGTATTGTTCTGTTTAAATGTAGAAAATTATAAGTACGCATTGATAAATATGCATTTAAAGTTTTTAATAGAGAAAAGTCGACAGCAATGGTGCATTATCATGCAATCACCAAAGTGATCGATAAAAATGAAGAAATTTGAGTAGTTTATTGTACAATTGATATATCAAATATTTATTATTATTTAATATTTATTATTATTTCTGCACAGATTCGCCGTGTAATTATTCCACATGAATTCATAAACATTATTCTGGAACACCTTTTATGAGCAATTATGATTAATTCCGTATAATAATATAATTCGGAAGTTTCTGCTTTCTCATCGACTTTTTCTTATACTCTATTACATGAATATTCAAAAAAAGCATTAAATGAATAAGAAATATGATTTCTTATATATTTCTATCATTTTTGTAAAATTCAAAATATTACCGTCATCAGATTCAGTTGATACTTCCGGTGAAACCTCCTCTTCTTCTGCTTTCAAAACATAGAAATACATATAGAGTTAGAATTCGGTAAATTTTCACATAATTGAATTTCAAAATCAACTTTTTCTTGACTTAACCTTTAAAACAATTATGTGGGTTTCTCTTGATATAAAATATTGTGCAGTAATCCAGATTCACACAAAAGCAACGAGCATCTCACATGTATAACCATATTCCCAACACTAATACGAAAGTGAAACCCATACCAAAAAAATATTAAACCTTATCATTACTAAACCAAATTTTCCTGAGTATTTCAATACGCATTTACGTGTGTATGCCAATAGCCATATACAACGACCAAAAAAAATTATTTAATATAGATAAATCATCATGCCATAATATAAAGGGAAGACAGCCAATGTTGTGCTTTACAACATACTGGAAGGATCATGCTGAAAATTACATGCAAGAGTTTTCTCTCTTTGACAATATTTCAATCAAAAAATGGTACACAATATATAACGTTACATTTTTCAGTGATCATTATAAAGTGACATGCATAGTGGGTTTTATTCCTGTATAATTACGTGAAAACTATTAAGGTCATGTAAAATACAAGTATACTATACCCTAGCATTTAGAACGAAATATATCCCTGTTAGAAAGAAGTTCAATTTTTAATATGAAGTTTGGAAAACATTCTATAATCGAAAACGCTCATAATGATAAAAATAGTTATGTGTTTTCAAAAACAGAAAGGTGATATATATGCACCATTATTTCAAAAAACATTTATGTAGTCACTTATACAATACTTTTTTTATATTTCTACTTCTCTTTTTTTCATTTTTTAAATATTTCGTTTTATAATTTTAGTAAATAACAATAAAGAGTTGTCATTTTCTTAAAGAGCTCTAAATCTGGAAAATAAAAGAACCTACCTTTCATAGATTGTTCCTTAGACTCTGTATCTGCCTTGACAGTTTCTTGTGCTTGTGCTCCCTCCTCCACAGCTTGCGACTGTTGTGCAACAGGTGCATCTAGTTCCCTTTGAACTGGACTAGTGGTTGGTGCAAGTGGAAGAGCATCATCAGACTTGGTGGACGTTATGTCCATCATGTCCTTTGAATGATCATTTTCAGGAAGAGTTTGGGGCAAATTATCTGCGGGTTGACTAGTAGTTGTCGGTGGCTCTTCTTGAGCCTTGTCAGAGAGAAGATTGCTTGGAGTCTGCGATTGCTTTTTTGTAATTGTTACAGAAGGAGGAGTATTTTTACCCAGAATTTCAGGTGAGGGACATGGTTTTGATACCTCAGCTGTAGAGGATACATCATGATCAGGTTTATGAGCAGGAGAGGGGGACTTCTTACTGCCTTGTGAAATTGTAGACTTCCTTTTTGATGGGATTGGAGATTTTGGAACATGAGGAGATGTAGATTTTAAAGATGCCCTAGACCCTGGTTTTGCTATAGAGGCCCTTCTGTGAGGGGACACCGATCCCTGTTTGGGAGGAGATACTGAAGTAGAAGTTTTTGTGGGAGATGAAGGTGATCGTGCAGGAGATTTTTCCAGTGCAATTTCAGGTTGTGGTGTAAATTTTATTGCATCTGTGCTTTCTTCTATCTCGTCACCTTCCCCATTATCTTCATCACCTATAACTCCATATCGTGCCAAGTCCACTTCAGTGCAAGCTGCCTCTTCGCCCTTTTCTTCCCAATCAAGCTCACCATCATCCACCTCATCATTACCCTGTGGAATGTGCACACCTTCACCACTATAACCCAAATCAACACTCTCCTCTTCTGGAATAACTCCTGCAATAGTTTTTATATCTACTTTATTGACTACTGGGGGTTCTATCAGCTCTTCACTGATAGTTGTGCAGGTCTCAGCATCAAATTTGTCAGTTTCGCTAAGAGGATCAGGTTGGGAGCTAACTGCACTACTCATATCAGCAAGACTATTGGTAGACACACCATCACCAATTCTAATACTTGGAACCCCATCACCACCACCCTTTAAAGAATCTACATCAAAATTATATTGTGCAGAGTAATCTTTTGTGTTAGTTTCATGATCTTCCACCACCACTTGTATTTGGTTAGAACTACTTTCAGGTACACTAGCAACATTAGAGCTACCTTGTCCAGGAACATTTAACACTTCTACATCTGACTCAGATTCATGTACATCTATCACATCCACACTTCCATCACCTGGAGGTTTTGACCCATCACCCTGACTTCCCACATCAAAGAGTGAACTTTCACCTGATGCCAGATCAAATGTGTACATGTGCGGTCCAAGGTCGGTGGAATCTGTGTAGGCGATTGAGGATCCTTCCATACCTGATAAAGGATCATAATAGAGAGGAAGACCTCCCTCATCCTCTTCCACAATACTTCCTCCAGTTATGGAAGATTTGATACGACGCTTTCCTCTCACAGGAGAAAATATATCAGAAGACCTTGATCCACTAGAAGGTGCTGATGAATGCCGGATGGTGACTGTTGGTAGAGAGGCTCTAATTTCTTTGACTGTATCATCTATTTTCAAAGACACAAAATGGCAAAAGCATTGGAACAACCACCAAAAGCAGGTCTTTCTAGAGTCTATTGCCTATACAAGCATAAGGAATAAAACTAAACCATTTATTACTATAAGCTGTGCATATCATGCTCATCATTTGACTACATTTAGCTGGGAATCATAAATATATATATATATATATATATATATATATATATATATATATATATATATATATATATATATATATATATATACTGATCTGAAGAATGCCAAATCATATGATAGTATTACATTTTTAAAAACATTAGTAATACTTCACAAAATTAAAAAAAATAAATAAAGGTATTATACAATTAAGTTTCATCATCTCTCTGATCATTCATATAAAAATGACCATTAATGCTAATTAATGGTTTTCTAAAATAATAATGATATTTGATATAAAATGTATACAATTTCAGCATACTGTATTGTACTTTAAAAAGTGGGAATCATATTTTAGAGGCTCTGGCATAGAAAATGAAGTGCTTTTTCATGAATATAGCTAATAAATCATATGGGTGAATTAAAAAAAAAAATGACCAAACGCATATTTATCAACCCACACTAAAAATACATGCAATGAAAATAGATTTCTATGTCTCAGCATATGTCTTTAGATAGTGTCTAAATACCTGCCAAATATCTCGTTGATATCTCAATTAACAAAAAAGTTATGCCCAAAAATGATGCTAAAATTGTCAGGAGTGCAACACCTTTTTGTGACATTTTGAAATTTCAATATTTTTTGGAGATCTGTAAAATAAAAAATAATGCTTCATGTTGAAAATAAAGACTTTCCTGATAATATTCAAAGTATTGAGCTTTAAATGTGGACTGTCATAACTTTTGTATACTCATGTTGTGGTCGTGGCTGATGTTTAAAAAAATGTTATACCATGTCAGGAGTGCAACAGAAAAAATGTAGTGTTGCCAAAAAAACATCAATTGTAAAATTCTCATAGAAAATTAAGACAAAAAAGAATTTGGGAAGTGTAAAATAATAACTGATATACATTTTAAAACTTAAAAATGTTATATAAATCACAAGCAGCATTAATGAGAGTCAAGTATATGTGCATACCCAAAAATGTCAGGAGTGCAACATTTGATGTTTTGCTCCCAAGCATGATAAAACTATTATCATTATATGATTTTCTGATTTTTATTTTGGAAAATAAAGACACTAAGAACATTTTTACCAAATAAATTTATCAATTACAGGATCTGTCTGTGCTTCAGATCCATATTTCTATGGTCAGGAGTGCAACACATTTTTTTAAAGATTCAAGTTGGTGAAGAAAAGACTTCTATTCATGCTTAGAAGTATTCATTAATTAATAATGATCTTTTTGTATAATTTAATGCTAAATTATTGACAGTTTTATTATTAAAATCCTTCCTTTTTCAATTTTATCAATTCAGATGTGTTTTTATCTTTTTTGTGATTTTTTTTAATGAACGTTAAAAATAAACACACTAAAACATTGTCATTAAATTCAAGTAATTCCTCCTCAACTTCACTGAAACAACAGAACAAGTTCTTATGTAATTTTCACTTCACAATTCTACTTTAAAGGCAACAATGCTTTTGGTCAGGAGTGCAACAAATATGTTAGAATTATAAATCATCCAATAAGAATAAAAATAAAGAAAAAATGATGAGTAGAATTTTTCTGGTGGGTTACTGTGTTTGTCTCCTAAAGGAAAATATGCTTTAAAATATATTTTATCTTCTAAATATACATTTAAGCTAGTTTTTTTTGGCATAAAATAGGGTGTTATTCCAGATAAAATGTGAATTTTAAATACTTTCATCTGTTTAATTATGAAGTATTGGACTATAAGTATTGCACAATTTCATTACCACTTGATGTTGCCAACACTTTATGAATTTTTGTGTTCTATGGTTTTAATTTTAAACTTTACTGCAGTCAGGAGTGCAACAAAACTGCTTCATAATTACCGATGCTTTTTAACTATCTTTACTAAAAAATAAGTTGAAAAAAATGCTTGATACTATTTGATGTTCAAAACACTATGTCTATCAACAAATTACAGAAAATTTACAGTCAATTCAGGGAATATTTTTCATCATTTCACATATATTTTAAATACAATTTATATATATTACACTTTGCAAATAATCATGTTTTAAGGTCTTCAAAATATGAAAAACCTGCTGTAAACGATGAAAAATATCAACACGACAATTTGATTTACAAAGTAAGAATGGGTTATTGTGTGTTATAATTTTTAAAACAATGTTAAATAAAATACATATCAGATGTCAGGAGTGCAACACAATAATGTAACATAGGGTCACTTCAAAATCTAGTATTTTTTGTAAGAGAACTCGTATATAACAATTCTTTTTTGGCCTAGATTTAAAGAATTGACTTGAACGGACAAAAAAGTGAACTTTGGGGAATTTTATTGCTTCATATTTTTTTCATATTAAAACTTTTCAAACCATAATTGAAAAAATAATGTAAAATAACAATCAAAAAGCCAATTTTTTGTCACATGTACAAGAGAAGATACTCATTCAAGGTATAGATTTAATCATTTATACCCCTTTTACCATTTTGAAGCATAAAAAACTATAATTTCTTGTGATTATGTATTTTAGAAAGTCTTTCAAGGTGTAATGATATTTTCTTTTTTCAAAAGAAATTTTACTAATAAAAATTCTGAAACTTTTTAATCCAATTGTCTATTCCATTGCCACTTCAGGATTTTAAACTAGAATGCATTTGCAATATGATGATATAAGTGAAAAATATGTTATAAGTAGTTGAATTTTGCCAAAAAAATTCAGTTTGGTGGTCATTTTTTTTTTAATTCACCCATATAGATGATTACAATGTACAGTGGGGACATTTTGTAGTGCTAATTCTTGGCTATGCCAACTACTCCATACCAGGACATTGCGCTTACTATTGAATACGTTAATTTATGTATGCATATAGCAAAATTTAGAAAAAAATTGCCTCAAGTTTATATAGGAATATTAGTCATTTATCCCAGTGAAAGAAATGTCTATTTTCAGAGAGTCAATGAACCTAAACTAATTAAAAGAACATTTCCTCAAGTAACAAGCAGCTGATCATTAAACAAAATCATTAGAAATTTTACAAACACTGACGCACCAATAAGCAAATATATACATGTAATATCTTTCAAAGGTCAATATCTTTATTTTACTAGTACTTTCTTGACTGTTTTCCATGTACTTTACAGATTAGAATACACTCATTTCTTTTCACCTGTTCTGCCTTTGAAATGTTAATCCCTTTTAATTACTGTAAGGATTTAAACATTACTCCCGTATATATACATTGTATTTATATCTTTATATAACACCTTTTCTCTGATTTTTCATAAGCAACTTATGTCTAGCCTATTCTTTGATTTACCTGTGGCAGGGCGACCCATATAGGTATTGTATGACTTGAGAGATGCTCTCAGCTTACTTGCTGACAAAATGGAACGAGGTGTTGTACTTCCAGATCTGCAAATTAAAAATGATCAGCATTTCTACAGTGGAAAACTATTCAGTATTTTCAATAATCTATAAATATCAAAAGGGCAACTTATCATCCATACACATGTCTCATATACCATGCAGTGTCCATATTGTTTCATTTTTTGTTTCTGTTTTTTTTTCCTTTTGGAAGGTGGAGGGGTAAGGTGTTAGTCTCTTACTTTAACCTGGGGCACATTTGCTGTAAGGAGAAGGCTCTACTTGGGGTTTCTTGTCATAACAAGGTCATTCACAACAATCAAAACCAAAGTTGACAAAGCATTAGATTTCATGTGTCACTACCATATCTTATAATTATAAGAATAGTAAATTCTTATCAGAAAGAAAGGGTATCTGAGATCGTGTTTTTCTTTGTTTATTGGTGCTTTGTAAAATAAATGACATATACATGTAAAACACAGAAGGATTTTTATATAAAAAAAATTAAATGTCTTCATGTTAGATTTAGAATGTTTATCTCCAAATCCATGTGAATGATCATGATGATATGTCAATGTGTCATCAATTGCCTGAATTGAACTGCTCTTCAATTCTGAAGGGATTTATAGCAGTTCTAAATTGCTTAAGTTTACTGAGTACATCCAAGATTAAATTTCTAGCAACCTTGAAAATTCAAAAAAAAAAAAATGTTACTAACGTTTTAATTAATGTGTATTTAACTTTACAAACTTTGTTAAATGAGAATGTACTTTTGAATCAAAAAGTTCTGAAGGTACTTTACTCAAAAATCCATTTAAAAATGTTTTACTCTTAACACTAAATAACACGTAGATAAAATTACTACTTTTAAATGACTCAAAAATTATGATCGGAGATATGAAAGTTTGCAGAAGACCTTGTAGAAAATTTAGTACATTATCCTCAATTTTCTAGTACTGGTCTTAATGAAAAATGTAAATTCTCAAATATACCCAATATCGCTGGGTGACATGGAGACAAAATTTGATCAAAATGAAATCAGGTATTATTTGTGTGTGTTTTTGATACATCACATATTTTCATTGTCTATCATACTCAAGCTAGTATCAATATATTAGAATGTTATTGAAGATAAATTCAATATTGAATTCATATCTTTCAAAAAAGGCTGTCTAGCCACAAGAACTATGGCCCAGCCCTTAAAACTTTTCAGACATAAGCTATTTATCGTCTTTATTGTTCCCTGACAGGTAACAATGAATTCATTGCAACAAAATAATACATATACAGGTGTAAAAACCAGGCTTTAATGATATCTTTAGACAAAACATGTAACAACAAAGAACTGTCATCGTTGATATGTCAGAGGGTTTAAAGTCTGTAGAAAGTTTCATTTTCTGCTAAATCTCTTATCCATTTCAATTTGAACTGCATGTTTCTTGTGGTCATGACATTTTTAAAAAATCTAATCCAGGCACAAACGAAGTATGACATGAAGAGATAAGGTGTCCCCTGCTGATTGACTCTCAATGGTAAAAGAAAAATTATATAAAATAGAACTAAGTCTGGCCATGTATAAGTCTAAATTTGTACTATTAAAATGAAACATGATGATTGTGACTACTTTGAACTTTTTCTTACACTACATTAAGAAACTTAACAAAAACTTCAATTTATATTCATATTCTGTATATTACATGAATTGTATATACATGGACTACTGGATTTTACAAAGGGACAAAACAGGAATGTAACATATTGCATGTGATCAATAAATGGAAATACTGATTCAGAAATGGAATGATAGAAATAGCACTGGTTTTAAAAAATTCCATCACGACTCTCTGAAGATTCAATAAAACTTTTTAATTGATTTTATCAATGTAATTTAATTTTCTGAAACCAGTTTCCATCTTTTTTTTTCAACTCATTAAAAGAAATTGATATCTGCATGCAGACAGCTTTTTTTCCAATTCTGCAACTGTAATGGAAAAGGAAGTTTTTTTTGGAGTAAGTGTTCAAAAAGTATATGCAATGTGCATAAATTTACCGATATATGTTTTGCAGTGTTTACTTGCAATGGAGACAATAACGAAAAAATTTTATTGACAGTTTGGACATTTTGAAGTTGTTGGCAATGTACATAGAATTTACCTAATGTTAATTGCTTCATTGATTGTATGCATCAGTTAAACTCAGTGATTTATACCCAACATTTTCTTATATACAAAACTTGTCCTTATGCAAAATACTGTATACAATCATAATTTAGCAGTTATCATATTTCAGTCTTTCCACTACTTCTTGTCTGCTAATTATTTTTTTTTGTTTGTTTGTTTAACTTATCTTTCAAGAATTTTTCACTCAAACTGAGATGCCAACACTTGCTGCTGGAGGGCTGCAAAATTTAGACCTATACTTGGCACTCAGGGCCATTGAACAATGAGGGATCTTTTTCGTGCCATCATCTACTGCAACATGGGACCTCTGTTTATATGGTCTCATCCATAGGACCAGTCCCCACGTCCCGCAGTGGGATTCAAACCGTGATGTAAGGATCAGCTCATTACACTGAAACTCTAGAGCATACACATTAACCACTTCGCCACGCAGGTGACGAAAATCCATGTAATCACTATTATATGGTTTTCCAAAAACATATACTGAGGGTAAGCTTGGATCCAAGATCCCAAAATTATGATTACACTAGTCTGTTGACGACGAAGGCTTAGTGCACTAAAGTTTGATTGCACTAATTTATATACCTTTACAGTATACATCATGCATCATTTAACATATTTATAAGTTCAGTGCAATGCAATTTACAGAATATTACAACCTGCAAAAACTTTAAACTAGTATCATTGAAATTTTCAATGATCATAGTTTAAAGTACTGTAAATTCCTTATTTTATGTGAGTACTTAATATCGCGAAATGGCCCAAGGGTGTCAAATCGAGGGAACAATAATTCGCGAATGGGTGATTTATCTAGAAAGTTTACATAAATTAAAGCACCATAAAAATAAAAGCGAGTAATTTTATTTCACGAATGGTGCTTCTCACGTAATTACGTGATAATTTATTCCTCACATATATTTAGCAATCTACAGTATTTTTCAGAAATTCAAATATTCATGCAAAGCAGCACTTTGATTTCTCCAAACATGGGAGTACACAAGATCAACATGGTAACTTAAAGGGTTTTTATCACGCATCTAAATTTCTTAAAAGTGAAACACTATTATGTTCTTGAAACATATTATTATCGTTTAATTATGAAAAAATGTTGAAAACGGCCGTAATTAGACGATAAAACACACGTAATATAGGGTCCTCGAAGTAAAAATCTCCACTAATTTGATAGGGGTCACGTGGTACTGAAACGTCATAGGTGTCAATGGTCAATAGAACTCATAAAGCTTATCGTAAGAAAAAAATATATTGAATAGATTTTTACTCTAAATAAATAGAATACACAGTATGGCCGGTTGAAATTTTGACATAGACTATATTCCTTTGGTTATGGACGGTCAATATTTAAGGTATGAACGTCTAGCAGAGAGAAATAACGTGAAAATATGCCGACAATTGTAGAGAGGTCACCGAAGACGAAGCCGTTGACAACTCGGGCAACTAAATAGAACGAATTACTAAAGTTTAACTTCGTAAACATTTATAAATATGGGAATTTAAATTCTTCTTCATTATTATTTTAATTAATTATAAATAAATAAATCCTGTATATCTTCTATCTGTTCTAGCAGTGAATATAATGTACTAGAAATGACACTTCTTCAATAGCGCCGTAAGCCATTACGAAGTTCACAACATTCCTACTAGATTCTGTGCAACTTTTAAAAAATGCATGTTTTTCATTTATTATTTTTTTAAAAAGTATCTTTCCTTAAAATATTTTATAGGACAGAAAAAAAATCGTGATCGGTCGGGCATAAACGATTGTTCTGAATGGAGATAAACGCAATCGCATTTGCAGAGAAAGGCCCCCCTTTTATCTCTCGACCAAGTCCAGGAAATGTGGGGAAAAAATTCTTCCTAAAACCTTTCTTGTGTACATCTGTGCACCATAAAGCCATAAATTATACCTTACAAGTTGTCAATTATTCAATTATCACTTAATTATTTTCTAACAGGTTTAAAAGACACAACAAATGAGCCCTTTTGTATGCACAATAAGTACTTCGCTTGACCAGGATTGACACCTATGACGTCAGAGCAATGGCGCGTAACATCGGCGATCAAAATATGCATATTGAGAAATTCAAACTTTGAATCGCTGAAACATCAAAAATATTAATTTTCTAGCAAAGATTTTTAAATATATGATTTTAATAGCATGTAAACTTTGTCATATCAAAAAATTTTGAAACGTGATAAAAACCCTTTAAATCAGCCCTACCCTTGTGATGTTTGAGTTCTGTTAGATTGCTGAGAGGAAGATCTGGTGAACTGATCTCCAAAACTACTGCGATTTTCAAAACTCCCAGATTCTGAGTTATATACAATGGGCCAGCGGTTGTCTTGTAGTCCCTGAAGTATTGCACGCAATTCCATTGCCTCTCTGCTCCGAGGTATATTAGTGTCCCCACTCATACTTGCTCTGTAGCTAAAAAAATAGGATTACCTGATAACTAATTTGTAAACTATTTAAAAACATGCAATTATTATTATCATGATAGTTACATGGTTGTACATGTAATATCATATAAGATATTTTTAACCAAAACAGCCTTGAAGGAGAAAAATCTTAATGGTAATCTAATCAAAAGTGTTAACTTAAAATTAATACTTTAATGAATTCAAGACATAAATTGACACCAAAAAGAATTTTACTTGCAATATTTTTTCCTTTTCTTTCCATATACATATTTTGAAGACTTCAGTGTGAATCTATAGTTGTTGATTTTTTTTTACGCCCCCCCCCCCTCCTTTTTTCCATTGATTTCTCTCTGTTTAATGATGTATTTTGTTGTTATCTTATAACCAGTGACATTTTAATATTTACTTCTGCAAATATGCAGTCTTGTTTAAATAATTCTGACAACACTAAAAAAACATCCCGACATGAAGCCAAGAAGCCAACAGATTAATCTGCATTGATGTTTCCATTTACCACATTGAGGATGTATTGCTTAATGTTGTGTATCTAGAAACTTATTAAAAATAAAATCACTGTAAATAGTTTTTGAAAAATGTTTTGGATAGGTAAATAAGTATACATATATAGTATTTTATCGACAAGGTAAGTCATGCACACCTGAATGTAATGATTGGAACTCAGAATTTTTTTTTTAAATAATTGACAGAAGCTGTCCTCAAAATATCATCATAACATCAAGTTTTTATGTTTTACACATATTTAGTTCTAACAAGATTCAAGAAAAAAATCTTTTTAAAAAATTGAAGGAAATTCCCATCTCTTAAAATTGACTTTTTCCATGGAGAATAAGAGTTACTTCCCTTTGAAAAGCATTTTTTTCCTCTCATAGTCATATGTTAATTTATATTGGGCCAATTATCTATATAAAAGTTTAATAGGTTAAATCCCCCTTTTTAATTGTTTTCAGAATACTTTTTTTATCTCTCTTCCACCTTGAATAATTTTTTAAAAGAAAATGCATGGACAGTCCGATTGCTATCATGTACAAGCATTGAGCACTATACATGTCTTGAGATTGAAATATTTCAAAAGAGAATTATTTTAACTTTCTCTATATCATTTTTAAGTTTGCAATTTATATGCCCAACAATCAACAAATACAGGTTTTATAGTATCAAATCTGAATATTTGAATATTCTCAGGGTACGTTATAAAATGTACCTTTAAAACTGACAGCACCTTTGCATTATCTTATCTTAAAGACCTGAGATGTAAGGCCAACAAGTATGTGTGAGATATCTACTGAACTACCATAAGACGAGAAACACATGAGACTTATCGATCAATACTAATCCATTAAAGCCAATCCGCAAGTGCAAAATCAGTCAGAATCGGGGCCTGAGTCAATATGATTTCTTTACACTGTCAGGTAGTTTGTTTGTGCAGAAAAAATGCTCAGTATTGAAGATTGCCCCTTTTTTAATACCCTTGAGTTTCATTCTGATCTATGCTTTTATTTTGCAAAATTAATTGGAAAAGGGAAATCAAATGAGAATTTTTTTTTTTATGAGGTCCTGAGGGATTTAAATGGTTTGATGAAAAGCTTGGATGAATTGAGTGTTTGTAATCGAACTCTAAATCATTCTTCAGTGAAGATTTTTTCAAATAAACAGGCACAAAATTCATGCTGTCTTTGACAGACCACACTACCTTAGGATACCTATATGGTCAGATTAGCATAAACATTTTATAGTTGGGAAAATATCCTTTTTGTTGGTTATAAAAACGGTAAAGGTTGTCAAAATGTGATCAATTGTGACCAGAAATAATATTTGAGAAAACCCAAGGGCATTTAATGGTCATCATTGATATTTAAACCTCACATACAAAGAACACGATTGTATGAATATGACATGGCTTATATTCAAGTAATAATTACACACTTTAATGGGTCTGATTATATCTTGTTAATGCTGACTTTAATGTGTTTGGGGAGAAGAAGAAAAAGTTAATGATCCACCATAAAATTTTAAGCATTCTTTAATAAATATAGGCTGTGCCAAGTACTTTGTAATTTTGTGCAATTTAAAAGAAAGATTAGCATAAAAAAGCCCTGACAGATCCTTTTAAGTAGAGATAACTCATTTGTATTGGTTACAGTAAATTCAATGAAATCCTAATCATTATAAATGTTTAAAATGATTTTTTTTTTCTGTGTGTTTGCTTAATTCCTACTTGTTTATTCACCCTTTCTGGATTTTTTTCCAACATGAAATTCATTCAGAAGAGATTCTAAAACTTTATACTAAAACTTTATACCAGTATCTCAATTTTTAGTGATGAAATATTTTATAGTACATGTACAGATTTTACTAGATCATTCCCTGGTTGCAAAATATCTCAGCTTACCTAGCTCTGAATTTGAGATCCCTGAGATACGAGTTGAGGTCACTGCCTGGTTGTGATCGACAATCGAGCTCTCTTTGGTTTTCTGCTTTGCGTAATATTTTCATGAACATCTTGCTTTTCTCATCTGAGATACTAGCATTTTCTTTATCATACTCCTGCAAATATGAATGGGGTTATTTAATTAATAATCATTTTAATAATTATATATTTATTTTCATCTAAAATATGAATGAAAAACACATGACTATCACTTGTGACAATTTTTTGTAACTCAGACAATTTTTGTGACTGAAGAAACATTCTACTTAAGAACATGTATATTAATACACAATTGAATAAATGGTTCTTATTCACAAGTAAAAGAATTGAAGATTACAAAACCTGGAGATATTTTTCTCACATGAATTAAAGATGGTTTAACAATGTACCAGAGATTAAACTATCTAAATTAAGTATATTTTCCCCAAGCAAGATCCCCCCTCTTGTTTAAAATTTGTATATCTGATAATGATAAAAAATATCAAAATACAATGAAATATTTCAGAAATATATATTAATGAAAAAGAGCATGATAATATCACATAGATTTCATGATTCTCAAAGTTTTATTGATCTGTGTATAAAAATTTATATGAACCAAAGAGTGGGTTGAAGCCCTCTCAAATGTTCTGAAACTGTTTCTCATATAATATATTCTCTGGCCTTTCTTCCTCCTCCAAGCACTACACTGCATCAGTGAAGGACTTTTAATTAAGGTTAAAAATAAGATAAAAAAGGTTTAATCCTCCAAAAAGCTAGTCTTGAGACTGATACCTGATTACAGTATTGTACATAACTTTAAAAACATATAGTGTACATAGTCTTGCTTTAAGTAAATATTGACAAAAGAGTTATACACCCACTAATAATGTGTTGGTATAGACTTGTCATCAGGGATCGACATTAACGGTTGTCCGATTGCCCGGGACAAGTAAATTCTCAGTTCGGGCAAGTGAAATTGTCGACATACTTGTCCGATCGGGCAAGTGAATTTTTCTGATACAAAATGTACATATTTATTTAGTTTACATCAATTTATAAATAAAACAATAAATTGAACACTTGATTTCCGCCACGCACCTGACTGACAATGTTTTGCATTTGAAATTCCTTGGTAGCATTTCTGGATTATACCGTTCATTTAAAAATCAAGTTTGTTGTTTTCTTTCGTAGGAAATGCACTCTACGTCTAACAAAATTTTGTTAACTTCTTATTAGGAAATTAGATTATTCAAGCACAGAATATAGGTACAGTGTAACACGTTGTATCCTGATCAAGGTAAGATGTATGTTTCGTAGCAACTATCTTCCTTAAGCGTTGCTTCACAGTTATCGCTGAAAATCATGAATTACAAAATGATCCTACCGCAAATAATTTTCAAAAATATGATATTTAAAAAGGAAATGGAGGGTTATTGCTGCATGGCAGTGTGGGTTAACAGGTTACATTTACAAGTACATTTACAAGCGGTATACATTTATGTACAAATGCAGGATCAAAATTTTTTCAGGTACCAGGTAGCTCAACTTGCCAAATTGACAGTAGTGTATTTCGTCACATTTTTTCTTTTCATAATGTTTGCAGTAATTAATAATTTTCGTCTTAAGTTCCATCCTAATTTTGGGCAACCAAGTTTTGCATTCGGACAAGTCAAAGTTTGAGATCACTTGCCCAAAGGGCAAGTGAATCTGAAAGTTAATGTCTATCCCTGGTCATAGTCATGAAGATCAATATTGATGCTTATAATGTTTTGTGTTTCTTAAAGGAAAGACAGATTTTTGTAATTATGAAAATAAATTGAATATCAACAGCAAGTATTCTTCCAATAATTAAATGCCAAAATAAATATTTGCTCTGTTCACTTGATCAATATCTAAAATATGCAAGTATCAATTTCAAAATTAAATCTATGTCTCTGCATTACGGAAAACAATGCTGCATCAAAATTTCCAAGTCTAGTAAATATATAATATTGACTATTTTAACATTTTACAGTGTTAATTTGTCAATGAAAGATTTAGTTTCACAAATGTTATTAAAAACAATTATTGCTTTATTAGTTTGCAGTGCTTTCATTTAGTAACTGTTTGCATTGAAAATGTTGAATCTATGCAATGAAAAATATCTTATTTGTCTATACACAAATGTAACACAAATTTTTATTTACATTATGAGGTGTTAATGGTTTTTCAAGTATGTTGCTACTATCGTTACTTTAAATATTGACACTGAAGGTTCCGTACATCAGAAAATTAAATTTCACCAACAGAGAAAATTATTAGTTTTCCTTCCTGAACAAATAAAGAGATTTTTGGCTGCTCGGTTATGCACATAAATGATAGATCTACAGCTTAATGTAAAATTAAAATGAATCTTTGCTAAATATCTGTGGAGTTCATTTCTTTACACTGTAAGTGCAGTAAAAAAAAAAACTTGTACATGCATGTTAAAATGAATGAATGGATCCTGCCAAATGTATATGCAAAAAAGAGTTTTGAAACATACTTCAAAAATCTCTATAAATATTAATCTTAAATAGTTGCTTTGCATGTACATGTACTTGTTTATACATTCCTATGTACGTATGTCATATGGGTGGGTTGTAGATTGAGGGAGCTATGCTGGTCTTCTGATTTAGTATAAATTCAAGATTTTTTAATATTTGAAACCCAGTAGTAATATACTACTACTAGTATACTACTGAACTTTTTTCCTCATACATATGCATGTATACAATATACTATATTGCTCGTTCATGTCTCCTCATTTAAATGAGCATACATGCAACAACTTACAGTTATTCTTAATCCCCATATGTACCGGGAAAACACTTTTTCCCTCACTGATGAAACAAAACTCTCCAGCATAATAGAATGTAGCAACAGTAAACATTGCTTGACAACAGGTGATTTTCCAAAAAATGTTGATTATGCAAAATTTATGTGCACATGGTTCAAAACTGTATTTGCATAAAGCATTCAGTATAATTTTGGATAATAAATATTGCACGTAGCTGAGGGTAACACTAAAAAATTTTCCCCCCGAAAACCATTGTAAATCTCGGCTGCATCTCGGTTGACAATGGTTTTCTTGGGGGTGAAATTTTCAATGGTACCCTCAACTATATGAAATATTTAATTAATAATATATATATGCATTTAATTTTAGTGAAGCATCTATGAGATTGTGTTTTCAAAAGGTTACAAGTAATAGACCAAAAATACCTCTTCATCTCCATATTGCAAAATAGACATGGCCAGTCTATCCAATGACTTTATCTTCAAAGAGGAATCTAATAATTTCTTCTCTCTATGCATTTTAGCAATTCTAGGATCCCCATAGGCCTCCTCCAATTCTTCGTCATCTTTAGGGGCAGTAAATAACATCAGTGCCCCCTTTTTTGTAAGGTATGTTTTAGGTAGATCAACCTTGTGATCAACAGAAGTTGTTTCCCTTGAAAGCCGGTTGTGAGTTGTTTCCCTTTGAAGTTTTTCTGAACGGCTGATGGGTGTGGCTGGGGGAGCAATGTTGCTTTTGATTGACAAAGAAGTGGAACACCTTGATAGATGACCAATGGTGACTCCATGTCTGTGGTGCTCTGGTTCATTTATGAATGGTAACTTCTCCTAATAAAGGTTTTAAAATATTTTAAATCAATCGTTCGAGTACATAGTTGAAAATATACATTAAAGTTGTTTTATTATTGAAAATTTAAATACAGATTGATAAGGTATTTTCATGGTATATATGTTGAGACAGAAATAGATTTACTTGCATGATACATTTCTTTTAATTTAAAATTAATTTATTCTACAATCACTTGTTTAATACAGCTGATCACTATAATTTAACATACATTATTATCTATTTATTTTGTCATATATCAAACTTTGAACTTGTTAGTTTAAAATAATATTAAACGTAAATTAAAAAAAAAAAATAAAAAATCCCACCTCTGAAGCATGATCGGAATAAGGATCATAATGCGCCCCGTCCCAGGAGCCATATCCCCTTGTCAGCGGACTAAGCATAATGATCACTTACAAATCAGTGCACCTGTAAAAACATTCCTCAAAGCACTTTTTCAGTTTAAGCGCTTAAAACTGTTCTTTTTTATATTCCTTTGGGGAAAATAATTTACACAATCTCAGCTGGGATGAAATAAACCGCTCTTTAAGTTATCATATTTCCGTGAGATGTGATTGAGCGAAACTTTAAGTCAAGTTAATCGATTATTGATCGTTGAGACCTCTGAAGTGTGTAAAAGTCGCTTCCATTTATTTACCGCTGACAGGGAAACAAATATGGACGAGTTCATTATTTAAGGTGTGAAGGATATGATAACTGAAATACTTTGACCTGAAAAAAGATGTAACTTTTGTATATATCAGCATCACATATGCCAAATCTTAAATTGTCTAAAAATGAACATAATTATTAATTATAATTCATAATTCTTCCAGAAAATAATTCTCACAAAATCAAGAGGAAAATATTTACACCCCTTTCTAATATTCTCAATGGAAGCGTCTTACTTTCACTTTATGGACATGCGCAGCGAGTCGCACCTGTTCTTCCGGCACTTCCGCTTTTAAATCTACACGACTCGTCAACATGGTATGAAACTGTTTTAGTATTTTGAATCAGATTATCACTGAATAATCTCTTTTTTGCATTTTAGAAATTCAGCTGCTTTAAAAATACCTGAGTCATTGAGATTGGCATGCATAATCAATATTGGAAAGTAGAGAATAAAAAAACGTTGGCCACGTAAGCACTTAGAATCTCAGAAAGTGAAGATGCAATATACCGGGTAGACAATAGATACAAAACATGCGATCGGATTTTGTATCAGGGTTGTCCCAAAAAAGTCGTACGCTCGCTAAAAAGTTAAGTGTGCTCTTGTTAACATAAAATTTCTTATCACATTAAAAAACAACTATTTTGACTTAATTTCGGGGTTCATTTTTTTTTAAATAACCAAAGACATAAAAAACAAAGATTCGCGAATCCGCCATTAACATGTTTGTTTATAGCTGCAGAACTGTAGCGGTATGGTTTTATGTTTTAGTCGGGAAGTTTCTAGTATGCCGGTCCCCAGAATCACGCGACTGCGCATGAGCGGTTATTTCCCTTGCCGTTGCTATGCAGAATGTAAACAAACCACCATTTTCCCCTCGCTTCAACAAAACACATTCGATCGAGTGATTAGGGTTAGCGTATATAGTTTTAAGACTGGAACTGTTTTATCAATCCAGTCTTAAATCTTCCTGACTTTGGGTTAATTCATGTAACTTTTGCTTACAAAAGGCACTGCCAAGTGCCTTTTGTGACCAAAAACTTGCATGAATCAGCCTAATGTCGAACTCTGCCGCTATATTATCTTTCAGGAGTAAAGCATGAAAAATGTAAAACTTGAGCAAACCGTTAATTAAATATCCGTGCGTTGTCTGCGATCTACGGATTAGGGTTAGAGTATATATAGCTCGGATATTGTGACTGTTTTATATGCACCCATGCTCGCATCTCCATCAATTTGGGCTTATTCATACAATTTTTGCTTACAAAAAACAGGAAAGTTTTGTGACCGAAACTTTGATGAATTAGCCTTGGTTTAATATCGAAACATGCCGATATTGTGCGCTAAGTTTAGGCAGGTTAATTATTGGTAAAAGCGATTTACCGTTTACTTGAGCTTGATATTCCAACCTCCGAATGTTCATATTCAAAATATTTTTCCTTTCAAATCAATGGTGATACACAATCCAATCAACCAACTACTAGTAATTAGTTACAACTTGTTAAATCTCTGCATTTCTCACAAAAATCTCGCAATTTTAGTAGCATTTCACTTTGCGTCCTATCAACTATTTCTTCATTACGTCAGAACACAAGTGACGCACATCATGAATATTTATGAGATTACATCAAAAATTGATCATGTGACCATATTCCTAAACAACGCAAGATGGAGTTTTACCTACTAAACAAGTATGTTATTTTACGAAATCTTTTAATTCTCATTTAAAAACCTGTGTTTAAAAAACAGTTTTTTAAACCCAATTTTTCACAAGGAATACGAATTTTGGCTCAATTTTGCGATTTGTGGCCTTTTTGACGACTTTTGCCGATCACTCACGAGATCATATTATAATGTACACCGCCTTCGGCGGCACCTATTTTAGCACCATATTTATAGGGACCGGTATACTAGAAGTGTTCCGTTTTAGTCTTTGACAATAAAGCTACAGATCCCGTAATGCAAATATAGTGCAATTTACGGCACGAGATTTTCGGAGCACAGTTGGGGAGAATTTCTCCACTTTCGAAACATTGTTCAATTAACTACTTTTCACTCCCTAAATCCAGACATATTTTTTAAAAGTCTATATTTTTTCAACCACCTTACCCTTAATAATTGTCTCTACAGACCAATTAACTCTCTCTTTGAATTTTTGTCGGGTGGCAGAAAATTCAAAACAAGCGAGTTATTGTAAGTTTTGTTTTTTTTAAAGTTTTATGTGATTTAAGTTGCACAAGATTTGAAAAAAGTAAACAATAGGGACCGCAAGATCACATGAGACTTCGAACAGTTGCGAATCTCTATTATTTATTATGTCTCTGTAATAACTGTACACATTTATTAAGAGAGTAATGTAAAAATAAAGAGAGCATTTAATTGTACATTGGCACACTAAAACAAACATAATTTTTGTCTCATATAACGTCATGCTCATAATACACTTGTACCACTCTTGTCTCAGGAACACATAAAAATTCATCTTATTTCTTGATCAGATTCAAATTTCAGTCTTTTTTTAAAGTTTAAATTGTCATTGCAAGATTCAGAGAACACACACAGTTTAACATTGTTTGTATTCCATAATGTTCCTCGTCATCTGAGTGCCAATTAGCTGCAGAACTGTAGTGTTATGGTTTTTACATTTTAGTCTTTAACCATAACTACAGATCCCTTATTGCAAATAAAGTGCAATTTACGGCACAAGATTTTTTGTGCACAACTGGGGATGTATTTCTCCACCTTGCAGCATTTGTCAATCAAATACCTTTCATTCCTTCATTCTAGACATATTCAGTCTATTACCAACCTGTATATTATATTCACCTCCTACCCCTTTAAAGTCGTATCTACAGACATGTTTAAAGAAATATCATCAGTAAGTGAACATGGTCGTCAAAAGACAGAAAATTCAAAACAAGTGAATTTATTGGTCTGTAGATACAACTACACAGGGTTAGGAGGTGGATAAAATATACAGGTTGGTAATTGAATATGTCTAGAATTAAGGTATGAAAGATAGTTGATTGACCAATGCTGGAAAGTGGAGAAATACATCTCCAACTGTGCACAGAAAATCTTGCACCATAAATTGCACTTTAATTATTTGCATTAACAGGATCCATAATGCTATGGTCAAAGACTAAAATGTAAAACCATAACGCTACAGTTCTACTAAGTGCTGATGTGAAACTTTCCTTGAAACTCTTATTCATTATACCGTGTATTAGGCAACAGAAATGTATATCTCATTCATGTCCTTAATCTCTTTTTTTTTTTCTTGCAGGCGGACATGACAGTGGAGATGATGAATCGCTATGTCAGTCCCATTAACCCTGCTGTTTTTCCACACTTAACAGTTGTACTTCTAGGAATAGGCATCTTCTTCATGGCCTGGTTCTTTGTGTATCCTTTTCAGACGCAATTCTATATTAAAAAAAAAAATTAAACTGTGCATAACAGTACTAAGTTCTTAAAGGTTTGGTATGAAATTTTTAATCGACAGCTGCCTATGGCATATGTATTTTGCAGAGAATTGAACCGTATTGCACGCAGTGAGACTTTTGGCTATATCTTGCTTATCAAACTTTATAAACTTTGTCAATTGGTGCCTTTCTTGGGAATCTATGGCAATGTAAAAAAAAAAAAAAAAAGATGATCCCAATTTTTGTACAAATAAGGGATTTGTAGAGTTGAGAGTGGCATAAAAAATCAGATCAGATTGTATTGAATACATTTCAAAGACACAGTTCATATAATCATATCAGGCTTCGTTGTTAACATAATTTGTTATATTCTTTAAGTTAATAATAAATTTGAAATCCACAGAGAATGAGAATAAGTTTGCTATAATTATCTTCAATTCATTATAAGTGTGTTCGCTGTAAGGATGTTTTACTGTAATGAAACTGCATGTGTAAATGTTGATGGTCTATGTGCATTGCCTGAGTCACAGAGTGACTGCTTCAAATATGCCAATATCCCTTAGAATCAATTAATAGATTCTAATGGCTGTACAGAAGTAAAGAAAAAAAGTCTCTCTAATTGAAAAGGAGCAAATTGTGTATTGTTTACCTTAACAACTGCATCAGATATGAGGTAACCTCTAACAAATTCACCCGTGACCTTTACAAAGAATTACTGGTATCCCTGGTAGCATCTGTGTTTATGGGATTTGGTGTTGTGTTTTTATTACTGTGGGTTGGCATTTATGTTTAGCAGAGAAGGTATGTAAAAACCTTTCATTGTCTTGATCTTGTGTAAATATATATGGTTTATTAACATTTTCTCTAATTTCTTTGAAAGAAAATGGGTGAACAAGGCTTGTAAAATGCTTATACATGTGTAGCTTCAAGTGACTGTGTATAATAAAGATCAAATAATTTAATTTGTGAACAGAGCTATCGAGTATTTAGAACAGAGTTTTGAAATTATACCTAGACCTTTCTCCAGAAAAAAAAATTCTCAGCAAAAAATAAGTAGTTTATGGTTTAAAAGAATTAAAGGATTTCTTGGGATTCGAAGTAATTTCAACCAAAGCAGAAAAAAATCATGAGAATTCGATTTTTTTCTGGTTAGATACTAACACTTTAACTACATGTATACTATGAACAGCTGTTAAGAGACAGCAGCAAAAGAAAATTGATACCTAGGATTTTTATTACTTGGGTTCAGACCCCAAGAATGCCACTTTTTAAGCAACAGAATGAGTTTTTGCCAGAAGAATTTTCCACAGAAATGTTTCATTCATAATAATTTTATACTTTGAATGATTAGAACTTAACACGAAATGCTAAATTCAAAAAATGAGTATGCCTTTTATACATTTGAAGCTTTAGGCATTTTGCCTGCCTTGTTTGCCCATCTCATTTGACTTTTTGCTTTCTTATTTAAAAAATCTGATAATATTTTTTTTTGGGGGGGGGGGGATTGTTTACATAACTTTTCCAAAGAGTTTTTTGCCTGAATAGAATTCTACTAAAGGAGCTTTTGACTGATTCATGTCCAACCTGTATCACCATCTGTCACTTTGATAATACAGACTAGTATTAAAGTGGATGTATATATGTGTGTGTTTATTCATGTATAATGTATTTAATATGCTATTTTCTTTTGTCTTTCAGATCATAGAGGCTTTAGGGGAAACATTCAAAGAACTTCAACGCAATTCATCTAGTTGTCATTTTACATATGTAATTATATATATACTTTTTGTTAATAAAATGTTTAGTATCGTAATTTATTGATATTTGAAGGGTTATTTAGGAAGCACATTCAGAAGGGAAAAAGTACAGGCATTTTAGGCCATCTAAAGGGGAGTAGATTTCAATGAAACGCAAAATATAAAAATGACACTTATTGTAAAATTTTGCATTGATATCAACACAAAGTGCAACAACGAAAAATATATAAGAAAAAAATATTTTGTATCAAGTTGCATGATTTTTTTTAATGTATTTTCCAGTGTTTAAAAAATCTCAGACATTACATTGTGGAAGATGAACAGTTATCTTGAAATATTTAGGCAAATAATTACTGCACTGTGTAACAATGCAGAATGTAATAACGACAAAAATTATATTAATTTTGACTGTATTACATGATTTACAATTCACTCTATTTCATGTAGATTTTACAAGGATCTGGAAATAGAAAGTAGCAAATGGTTTAGCAAATAAAATGTAAAAATACTTCATGATAACTTTTATTTTCCACAACAAAATGCAGGCACTTGTTTCATACCGAATGCTAGTTTACTACTACATGTATATACAATGGATAATGATAATGTTTACATTAAAAGTTTAGACTTTATCAAGTTAAACTTATCTCCCCCTTTCTCATATTTGTGGATCCACCACTGAGAACGAAGTAAGCCCGTGATTAGTGATGTTTCAACTTTATATGGGTAGTGTAGATTCAAGTATCTTCAAATCATAACCCCCGGTCTACGGTGGGACCACCATGGGGGATCAAAGTTTTACAAAGGAATATATTGGAAAATTCTTTAAAAAATTTCCTTCTCAAAAACAGCAAAACAATGGTTAGTCATATCTACATGGAAGCATTGCCATGCGACTTGTACGACAACATGCGCGGTGAGGGTAGGTACACATTGTCGCCGGCGACAATATGAACAGCTAGGACGACAAATTGTACCGTCACAATCACGCTGCATGAAGTAACATACGTTAGTGGGATTTGCACCACAATTACATTCACAAAACTACCAAAAACCACAAATAAGCAACAATATCCGTGGGGCGACAATTTGTGCAGTGAGGGTAAGGCACATTATGTCGCCAGCGACAATATTTACATGACTGTGTAATTTTTCAGCCGGCGACAGTATGTACCGATGGACGACAATATTTGCAGTGAGGGCAGGTACATATTGTCGCCGACGACAATGTACAAAACGACAATATGTACCGTCGCAAGGCTGTACATGTATGTGACGGTATATATTGTCTTCTGTACACACTGTCACCGGCGACAATATGTACGTGTACCTACCCTCACTGCACATAATGTCGTCCATCTGCGCATATCATCATCGGCGACAATATAAAGCTGTATGTTCAGAGACAAGCACACACAAAATGTACTGTCACACATTCGGCAAATATTGTCGTTAGCAAGATTAGGTTCTGTGAACATCTGCACACTTTGACATTGTACATGTATTGTTTCGAAGAAAATTTACTTGGATCTTGAAGAGAGACCCGGGCTGGGTCTTGAAGAGAGCTAGAAAGAGAGACAAACAGAGGCCCGAGGGATAGCTACAGTGTAGCTTTTGGCAGATAGATATAAGCAGGATAAAGTAAACAAGCAATAATATAGAAAACGTGCCCGACTGGATTGGTGTACACCAGTATTATACACCGTTTTAAGTTAGGGGGATTCAGATAATTCCTCCTATTCGTTTTTGCTCGTCATATTTATTTAGAGATTGATCGCTTTTTTAGCTCACCTGAGCTGAAAGCTCAAGTGAGCTTTTTTGATCACCCGTTGTCCGTCGTCCGTCCGTCTGTCCGTCCGTCCGTCTGTAAACTTTTCACATTTTCAACTTCTTCTCAAGAACCACTGGGCCAATTTTAACCGAACTTGGTACAAAGTATCCTTGGGGGAAGGGGAGTTTAAATTGTTAAAATAAAGGGCCAAGTTCCCTTACAAGGGGAGATAATCAAGAAAAGACAAAAATAGGTGGGGTCATAAAAAAATCTTCTTCTCAAGAACCACTGGGCCAGAAAAGCTGAAACTTATGTGGAAGCATCCTGGGATAGTGTAGATTCTAAATTGTTCAAATCATGACCCCCGGGGGTAGGGCGGGGCCACAATAGGAAATACAAGTTTTACATTGAAATATATAGGAAAAATCTTGAAAAATCTTCTTCTCAAGAACCACTGGGCCAGAAAAGCTGAAACTTATGTGGAAGCATCCTGGGGTAATGTAGATTCTAAATTGATCAAATCATGACCCCTGGGGGTAGGGCGGGGCCACAATAGGAAATACAAGTTTTACATTGAAATATATAGGAAAAATCTTGAAAAATCTTCTTCTCAAGAACCACTGGGCCAGAAAAGCTGAAACTTATGTGGAAGCATCCTGGGGTAGTGTAGATTCTAAATTGTTCAAATCATGACCCCTGGGGGTAGGGCGGGGCCACAATAGGAAATACAAGTTTTACATTGAAATATATAGGAAAAATCTTGAAAAATCTTCTTCTCAAGAACCACTGGGCCAGAAAAGCTGAAACTTATGTGGAAGCATCCTGGGGTAGTGTAGATTCTAAATTGTTCAAATCATGACCCCTGGGGGTAGGGCGGGGCCACAATAGGAAATACAAGTTTTACATTGAAATATATAGGAAAAATCTTGAAAAATCTTCTTCTCAAGAACCACTGGGCCAGAAAAGCTGAAACTTATGTGGAAGCATCCTGGGGTAATGTAGATTCTAAATTGTTCAAATCATGACCCCTGGGGGTAGGGCGGGGCCACAGTAGGGAATCCAAGTTTTACATTGAAATATATAGGAAAAATCTTTAAAAATCTTCTCAAGAACCACTGGGCCAGAAAAGCTGACACTTATGTGGAAGCATCCTGGTGTAGTGTATATTCTGAATTGTTAAAATCATGACCCCAGGGATGGGGGGGGGGGGGGCACAATAGGGATTCCCAAGTTCTACATTGAAATATATAGGAAAAATCTTTAAAAATCTTCTCAAGAACCACTGGACCAGAAAAACTGAAACTTATGTGGAAGCATCCTGGGATAGTGTAGATTCTAAATTGTTCAAATCATGACCCCTGGGGGTAGGGCGGGGCCACAATAGGTATTACAAGGGGGGAAGTCTGGTAATGAACAGCATGGCCAAAGTTACTCAGGTGAGCGATGTGGCCCATGGGCCTCTTGTTTACTTTTTGAAAGAAAGACATGTAATTGTATATTGAATGTTTATATTTGTAATCAGTAAAACAAAGCTATCTGGAATTAACTTATACTTGTAGGATGTTATTGGGGTTCCAGGGGTCAAAATTGTTTTTTAATGTTCTTATTAAACCTGCCTCCATATAGAAGTTATGGATATTTTTGTGTGCTTGTGAAATTGGTTTAAGCTTTTAGTGCAGTGAATATCAGAGAGCCAAGAATTATGATAGTTCTTAGTGAAAAGAAAGCGGGTGTTTGATTGAAGTCTCATGATCACAGACAGAGAGAGAGAGAGAGAGAGATTCCTGGTATATATACAGTTGAACTTCGGTTTCTCTTACACCCATATCTCGAACACCGTAGATTTATCGAAGTGATTTGGATGTCACAATCATTGACTCTTAAGTATTTGTATCCTTGATATCTCGAACTCGATTCCTCGGATATCTGGATTTTTTTCTGTCCTATCGAGTTCGAGAGAACGAGGTTTGACTTTATAATATACACACTTGCATTTGACAAATTAAAAGGGAAAAAATGCTTCATTTTAACATTCCTGTACATATTCCATCAAATTCAGGATGTTAACAGTCGATAGAAAATTGTGAACAAGTGAAACACGTACATGTACTTTTCTGACAATTGTGCATATGCAGAAGAAATTCCCACACTTGCCAATTTATTGAAGAAATTCACAATGACCTTGAACATTGTGCCTTAAAACTAGTAAGGCCAAAGTTTTTTTTTCAATTGGTTTACGATTCCGCCGACCCTATTTTTCCCTATTTACGAAAATAAAAATAATGCGTTTCGTCTCCCGAAACTGTCATCTTATTCCGGAATTTTCTCGACCAAACGACAGTGTTTCAGTTTTTTATAATACATCTTAATCATTAAAGCGTTTTAAGAAATATGAGGCTTTCACGATCATTTAAACTGTTAAATAACCTGCACAAATACAACGTGATTGTCAAATATGGCGGGACACGCGTATTTTAAGGTGAAGGCTTGTTGTGAAAGCAATCCCTCACTTTCCAAAAACTTTTTCATGAGTGGAAAGGCTGATCAGAGAATAGGTGATGCGCTTTACCCATATTTGTCCCACTGCAATGTGTCCATTATGGAAATTCGGACTAGTAATTCTGAAGAAGGAAAACCATCGACAGTAACAGAGCCGGATACTCCCATTTCTGTTCTGGAGTCATTTGGCGTGCGATTCGTTTTTGTTGACATAAAACCGAATGGTAAGAACTCTTATGTCTGACAAAGTATTTTTGAGTAAACATTAAAATAAAATCAAATCATAAAGTGAAAAATTTCTTGCGAAAAAACTAAGTGTCTCAATCGTGATAATCAATTTAGTTTGTCGTAGGGTATGTGTCAGATTTCACATTTTCTTAAAAATGTGAAATCTGACACACGCAGTTAGTAATTAAATTCCCATAAGAACGAGAGTTTTAATCATTGAATTTCATTTCCTTTTTTAAGACCAGGCAGATGCAGCTGAAGAAAAGGAAAAGAGATCGGTTAATGTTTTTGACATTTTGATGAATGTCCAAAAATCATACGATAAACTACCCTCTTTAAGGTATGCACAAGGGTATATATTTAATGTACAAAAAAGATTTATCAAAAAAATTGCACATAATTTTATTTCTGTTTATTGAATTTAAAGATATTTTATGTGTGATAAGATTATGTTGAATATTTATTTCAGGGTTGATTGTAAACACTTTGAGATGGTAAAATTTTAATATGGCACATTGTAGTACACTACTATAAAACCAGCATCCTGTCTTCTTATAA